AATACAGACTTCACCTGTCCTCCCACACACCTGGGCAGGGTGTTTTGCTCGCTGAGTGCTGTCACTTGCTGGCCCAAAGCCCTGCTCTGGGGAGACAGGCCGTGTGTCACCTCTGAGAGGAACATCTTCAGTCAGTGACAGCTCTGGGTCACCTGGTTCTAAAGCTGTAATAACCACACAACTTCAGCTTGTGCAGGTCTGAAATGGCTCAGCCTGGCATCTGGCTGCTTTGTGTCTGCACAGAAATTACTGCTCAGAAGGAAAATACTAATTTATCAAAGCACTGAAGAGTGTGCAAAAAGAATGAAATAAGCTCCCCTCTCCTTGTTTTCGGGCTTAGACTTAATAATGACACTGAGATTCTTGACCTTCTAACTGTAAGCAGTTATAATAGGTACAGCAAATTAAAAATGGTAATGTTTAGATGAGTGAAAATGGGTATTTTCTTCATTAATTTGGGAGCTGCTCTAAGGAAATCTGTACTTTGTTGGCACTTTAGTGCTTGGGCTCACTTTCATTAATGAAAAAATATTTCCATCATGGTTTTAAAAAGGGTTTTGCCAGGTTTTAAAAAAGAAAATGGGATCTCAAGCCAGGATTACATGTTGCATCCTTACAGGAATGGATCACCCCCACAGCACCCATCCCTCTCTAATCCCAGGAAAGAGAAAAGCAGTGTAAAGAAGTGATTTGGAAATGCAAAATTCTTGCACCTTTTGGATAGATTAATTCCCATTTCAGCACGAGGGGGATTCTGCCTTGGTTCTGTTCATGATGAGAGTGGTTGGAATGGGGACCCTTGCATCTGAAACTCTGCCAAGGCAAAGAGGAGAACCTGAAATTCACAGATATCCATAAAACAGAGACAAAATGGTGCCCCAGGGAGCAGGGCCTGGATTAGGACATTATTCCCCAAACTCTTTGTCCTAAGGAATATTTTGTTCTGTGTCATTGAGGAAGGGTATGGTGGAGGGAAAAATGCATTTCTTGGGGATTCTTTGTTTTTCTTTGCTTTGTTTTTCTTTAGTAGTAACTTAAAAACCTTGAAATTCATCCTAAGCCTGGCTGATTTACAAGCAGACTTTTCCAAAAGCTGTAAATTCTGGTGGTTTCATTGGAGCATCCAATCCAGGTCTTTGTTACAAACAGAAGAATCTAACTAGACAAATATTTTTTTTTTCCTCAGGAGAAGGAATCAGTTTAGTGACATTTTCCAGTCTTCATCTTTATCAGAGGGATGGATTGGATATTCCTCCTTCAGTAGATTTTCCTGGAGTGCATTTCCAGTCCTTGCTGTCCATTCCCTTGCCTCACCTGTGGCTGGTGGGTTCTAATGGGGGAGCTGAAAGGGTGAATGCAGAATTTTGAAAAGGTCACAACAACCCTACAGAGCCCTGTGGTTCAGGCACAAAGTGGGGATTAACATTCAGATCCCTTCCACTGCAGCAAAAACTGAAATATGGGATGAAAACAACCCTTCCACGTGACAAGGATTGCAAATGGGGAGGGGGAATAAACTCTTGGCCTCTTCCTGTAGCTGTTTTCACATTTTAATAACTTTGTGCTTGTCTTATATGACAAGGTCCTGTGTAGTGGTAGTTAGCAACTTTTATTTTGCTACTTAATATCTGAATTCTACTCTCAGAGCCTGTGATCAAAAATCAAACTGCAAATTGAGATAATTGATTTGGGGTTTTTGTTGGCTATTTTTATTCAAATTGCTGACTGCACCAGAAAAATAAACTCTGAATTTTATATTCCTAACAACTTCCCAGCCTTTGTTTCTCTTCTCCTCCCCTTCTCCTACAGAAAAACATGAAGAATTATTTTTGTGGGGTTGCTTTTGATATGACTAGACTTCAAAAATGAAATAAGTTTCCATTTCAAAATTTCTAACTGAAACTATTTTTTGGGGACGTGCTTGAAATTGGAAAGCTAAAGTAGTTTGCTTATTTCAGTTTTCTGTTTTTTTGCAAAATATCAAATATTCCCAGATACTTTTGATCCACCTGAAACTGATTTTTTTGGGGCCTGAGAGGTTTGTTCTGGGCTATGTCTTTGTTTTTTGGGCCTGGGCTTTGTGATGTCCACAATGCTTAGGCAGGTGCTGTGCTTGTGTGCATCAGGTGTTTATTGTGTCCAGGTAGCCTTGGGAACATGGATTCCCTAGATGGCAAAACCCCCTCAGTGAAATGTTGAGTAGAATTACAATAATTCCTCCATAGAATAATTCTTCTTGTTCCAGCTCATCCAAGTCATCCTTATCTCCTTAAGTCTGTAACAGTCACTGCTGTGGTTGATCCCGTATTTTATTTTAAAACCCCAAACTGTTTTACCAGGTCTGATTTAATCAGTGCAAGTTTAATTAAAACCTTCCACCAGGTGGAATCTTGTTCAGCCACGTGCCCCTCTTCCTTTCATTGGAATTTCTCAGTTCAATCCCAGCAAGTGGGATGGAATTCCACAAGGTTTTGCTCTGTGGCAGGGTTTTCCACCGAGCTTTCCCTGCAAGTGAAGTGTTAATTTTCCCTGGAGGGTTCTGCAGAGCCTTGGGAGGTGCATCTTGGCTCATCTGCAGCTCTCTCAGATCCTTATTTTAAACCTCTCTGAGGCTGGGCTTTGTGCTAGTGACAGCTTGCAAAGCTGGAGAGCAGAATGAGCTGTTGTTTAGGATAAATAGGAAACATTATTTATATATAGGAAGGAATCAAGTTGACAACTAGAACAGCATGAAGAAACCCAAGAAAGGCACTTTTTATTAAAAAGCATTGGATTAAAACCTGTTCTAACTGAAAGAAGTAAAGCAGGAAACACCTTAGTGCTGCTTTTCTGTGGGAGCAAAAATTCTTCCCTTCCTCCTATGCCTGAACTCTTAAAACACAGCCAGGGTAGGTCACAAATCCCTGGATTTAGGCATTCTACACTGAGCAAATATGGCAGCCTGAGGCTTTCTGTGCGTGCCAGGTCACTTTGCAGAGTTCTTGTGCCTTGAGAATCAGCAGAATCCCAGGAGAGTTTACGTTGGATGAGATCTTAAAAGCTCATTCCACTCCAACCCCCTGCCATGGGCAGGGACACAACTTTTCATTATTATCTTGTTAAGATTTAGTAAGTGTTTTTTTTTCTATTCTTTAGTATAGTATAGTATTCTTTACTATAATATAGTATTATAAAGTAATAAATTAGCCTTCTGAGAACATGAAGTCAGAGTCATCATTCCTGCCTTTGTTGGGGCATTTCCCAGCAAATACAATAGGAGGCTGACAGGGCAGTGCTTCCCTTTCTATCCTTTTTAGAGATATGGACGTTGTTTCCCTTTTTCCAGCTTCTGGGAAAATCCCAAGCAGAGGGGGACAAGGTTGACTTGGGTAAACATAAAAAGAGATTGTTTTCACCCAACCAGCCAGTCAGCAAAAGAGAAATAATCTGAACTGGGGCAATGGACAGTTTGAATGGATTTTTGCTTCTGCCCATGTAAGAAAATGCTCTTGTCTCACAGGGAAAGCAGAGTTAGCAATGTCTGCAAAGATAGCTGAAATAAAAGTGTCAATCTGAGGCTCATTACAAAGCCCCTTATCCCTGCAGCATCTTTTCAGTTAACAGTGTTTAGTGGTTTAAGGTCACCAAATTTAAATTACATCAGATATTCAGTTTGCATCTCTTAATTGGCTATCTTGATTGATGATCTTGGTGGAGAACCCTGACCTCCTTTTCACAGTATAATAATGAGACCTGTCCTAAAATATTGCCATTAAATTACCTTTTAGGTACTTACTGAAACCTGTCCAACTCGGGCACTACCCTTATAACAAAGCTTTAAATTGTTTTAAATACTGTAACAGTGAAAATTCTGAAGTAGCTGTAACAGCAATTCTTTCTTTCTTTATTGGAAAGTTCTCTGTTCTGTGCTATTATTAACTTATTTCTATGACGAAAATTATGCAAATTGGCTCTTTTAGTCAAGTTCTTCAATATGTTTGTGTCAAGGTTAAGATTTTATAAGCATTTAATTGATTTTGATTGATTTGCCAGTATAAAGAGGAGCAGAACTAAGAGGAGCTGGTGAGTGTGCCTGAGAGTACAGAAAGGAAAAGGATTTTATGTGCAACTGTTTAATCTGAGACATCATTCACCTGTTCCTTGAAACCAATCCCAGGAAGGAGCACATGTGAATAGTTTTAGAGGATATGTGTTAATTAGAGATAAGACATCTGTTTGAGTTTGTGTCACTAATGAGTGGCTCACAATATTTATTCTGCTTCTGGAACATTTTGTTCTCTTTGAAAGAAATTACCTCAGAAATGTAAATTGCAGCTAATAGATCATCAGTTATCTCCCAATAAGAGTTATCAGCACCACCTGTCATTGGCTTCACCACCTCACCTGGTTTAAATCTCTCCTCTGACTTCATTCCCATAGAAAAACACAAAGGGGTTTTGGGGGCTTTTTTTGGTGTTTGTTTGGTTTTTAATTTTTTGTTTTTGTTTGGCTTTTCATGGTTTTTGGGGTTTTTTGGGGGTATTTTTCTTTTGTTTTTTTGGGTGGTTGTTGTTGTTTGCCTGAGCCACTGGCATGAGGAATTCTGTAGTGTCCCACCCTGAGATCACTGTTGAGTTTTTACTGTGCCCATACTGTTTGCCTTAATCATCTGATCCCACCCCACACATTTCACACCGTCACTTCCATGTCTTTTTTTGTAAGTAGCTGCTTTGGGAGTGTGAATTTCTGTGCTACAACATCCTTGTTCCATGTCATCCACTCTCTAGTTCATAGTCCCCCTTTAAAAGCTGTCTCTGATGTCTGCAATCCATTGTAATCCAGCCTTGACATTGGAAAAGATGGGGCCAATTTGAACATGGGGAGCACTAAAAGTATTCATACTTATTGTCTCTTTGCTACATACCTCTCTTTCCTCCTTTAATTTGTTTACAGACTTGTCAGAACTATGGATTTTGTTTTCAAAATCCCCCCAGCCCGATTCTTTTTATTTGTTTTTACAGCACCTTCTGTTGCATTTTTTTGTGGCTATTAACTGGAACTCTGAATGGGATTCCATAACTGTTGGGATGTCAAGTGTTGAATTTTGAGCCAGGTAAGCCAAATCTGCTGGGAGGAAGAGTGGAAAGGAAAACAAAGGTGCTGGGGGCTCAGACATGGTGTGGAATTGGATTTTCCCTTCACCCAACCAGTCCTTTCCAGGATGCTTGGGGGACTGTATCATTTACTGCTGTTTAATTCATCTCCACTGATTGGCTTCACCACCTCACCTGGTTTAAATCTCTCCTCTGACTCCCTTCCCATAGGAAAACACAAGGGAGGGTTTTAGGTTTTTTTTTGGTTGTTTTTTTTTTTTGGTGTTTTTTTGTGTTTTGTTTTGTTTGTTTTTATCTTTCTGAATCATTGGCATGAGGAATTCTGTAGTGTCCCACCCTGTTGATGGGCTGGTACTGCTTCTGCTGAGTAAATGTAAGGAGTTCACAGTGCTCCCTGAGCACACCTGGAATCCTTCTTAAAAGGGAAAATGAAAAGAGAAAAGTGATATTTTGGAAGGAGCAGAAACAATGGCACACTGTCATTTGTCAGGCATCAATGTGAAAATGTGCTCTGGGACAGGAAGGCAGAGGTTGCTAAGCTGAAATAGTTGCAGTGAAGGGAGAAAAACTGGGATGCTGTAGGTGAAAAGGAGAAAATGCTACAAACTGAGAGGAAAAACTGAAACCCAAGCAGACTGGAAAGCGGAGGAATGGCTGTCCCATTTTTCATTCACTTCTTCAGTGTTTAATCACTGCCTCTCATATTGTCAAACACTAATTTGTTACATTCACCTTCAAAATTCCCAACTCTTCCTTATGTTGTTATTGATAACACTCACATGCACTATGCTCTGTAGTAAAATGTAGTGTAAAAAAAAGCTAAAAAATGCAAAAGTACCATTTTTAACACCTTCTAAAAACACCTTTGAACACAGAATTTCTGCTTGCAAAAGCAGAGTTGACCTCTAGCAAAAACATGTAGGTATAGGATTTTTTTGTTTTTTTACTATGACCTCAAATTCTCAGGTTTCAATTCTCTTTTTCACTCTGAGAACAAAACAAGAGAAGAGTTTATGTTGATTGAATGAATTTCATTTATACTGGTTGAATAGTTTCCTTTATATTGATTGAATGGTTAAAAAAACCCCAAAACCACATTTACAGAAGTCATCCAGTGGTGGGTGAGGAAATAAAATGAAACAGTAGAGATATAAAATACACTGGATAGGTGTGAAAAGCCAGGTTATGCATGATGCTGAGATGAAGGAATGAGGTTTCATCCCAGAATGTGGCACAGCCAGGGCTCTGTTGGGATTTTCAGGATCTCCACCTGGGATGTTTTTAGGAGTGAGAGGGCTTTTAATGCCCAAACTGCATCACATTAGCAGGATCTGCTCCTAAATGGGCAGTGAAGACAAATTCTACCTGGATTAAGTAGCAGGAACAAGAAAGGAAAGAAAAGCAAGAAAGTCCAAGAAAGAGCAAGAAGGAGCTTTTTGGACTCAAGTCTTAACACCTGCATCAAGAGTGTCAGCCCTGAGGGAGCACAGCAGGAGCTGCTCAGCTACAGGAGGCCCTACATTTCCACACCTTCCTCAATCCCAAACGCATTTCTGCCTTAAATTTAATTAAACAGAGTGGGTTTGGTCTCACTTACACCATTTAGGGCTTTGCCCATGCAATACATTCTGAGCAGCAGGAGTGATATAGATTTATTTCTGTGCTGTCACACCTTTTGGGCACTGTCTGGTGAGAACTGGGCTTTCTGACACATGTCACTGACAAACTAATTTGTCACATGTGCTGGGAGACAGCCAGCAAGGTAGGAATATCCTCCTGTAAAACTGGAATAATGCAGCAGTACAAAGCTGTGACACTTGATCAGTGCATAAATTCAGTATTCACAGGGCCTTCATTAATTAGCCAGAGACTTGGTTATGGGCAACTGTTTATTTAGAGTAATGGTATTTAGACTTGGGTAACAGTTTTGCTTATATAATCAAGAAAAGTTTCTAGGTTTCTTTTGCTGAAAACACATTCCTTGTGGTTAGCACAGAGGGAGGGAGTGTGGAACTCGCCAGCAAAACTTGTCTGCATTGAATCCATTGTGAGTGCCAAGGCTTCTGCTCTGTTGTTTTGCTTTTGGGAAGGTTGAGAAGTGTAAATACCTTTGCTGGGGCTCACTGAGGGTTTAGCTGTGCCTTGGACAGGTGCTGAATGTCCATCCCTTTTCCTGGCTGGAGCTCTGTGCAGCCCATCCTGTGAGTTCTGCCCTGGTTTCCTGTGAGTCACAGCATTTGGCTGAGATCAAAACTAGATCAAGGCAAACACAAGATGATCAAGTGTAAGTGTTGTGTCATGGCAACAGTTGAGAAGCTGTATTTAAACTGTGAGGCAGAAGGATATTTTAAGGTTTGAAGGTGACCAAGGAGTGTCAACCTGCTTGTTTATAAAGAAAAAAGCTCTGTGTCATCCACCCATCTTCTGATCAATGTAAGTTTAACACACTTCTCCCCAGCAGGGCTTGAGCAATGGCAAGGGCCTTCTTCCACCTTCCCCTGATTGAGAATTTCTTGCTTTCATCAGAACTTTTTTCCCATCCTGTGAGATGGGTGTGTGTGAAATGGCAGCTCCTGTGCTCTCAGCCATAACTCTACCCTGTGGCTGCTGCTACACTCAAAATGAAAGGCTTTTAAAATTGACTCTGGCTTATTATTTGCAGCTGCTAATGCAGTTGTCCTTAAATTTTATGTGTGACCTTAATCTCCAGGAGGAGATTCACAGACAATTTTCAAGGTTGCTCACGTGTTTCTGCTCTGTTCACTGCATCCAGCTCAGTGAAACACCAATAAACTCCAGAGGAGTTCCACACTGATTACTCAAAGTTCTGCAGTACAGGTTTTCTCTTCTCAAAATTGCCTCTGTTCAGGTTTGAAGAAAAAATATAAAATCACTTCGAGCTGTTGCATATAATAGGATTAATAGTTGATGTATTTTATCTATCACCTAGTGAATTACAAAGTTTTAATTTTGCCACATGGGGATGCAGCTGATGCTTTTCCCAGGCTATAGTACAGGAGTCCTAAATTCCTGACATTTACAAGCTGGAAAGGATTTACAGATTTAACAAAAGTTTTAGCAGAGTAAAAAGTGTTTGGCAGCACTGTACAAGTTAACCTGTGCCCTTTAACATTACTGCCTTGCAGGAGTGCCAGTGCTGAGTGATTAAACAATAAATCATAACACACAGAGACAACAGCAATCCCTGGGACTATCTGTAAGTGACAAACTTATGGAATGCACTTTTATTCCCTAAAATTTGTTCTTTGGAATGGTTCATCAGCAAGGGCAGTGGACTTGGAGGCTTTCTGCCATTCCTAGTAAAATATCTTACCTCTAGTGAGGGAGGGTTTGTTTTGGGGAGGAAGGTTGGAATTTGGAAATTCATATTCCCACATGAACAGAAGAGCTGTAACTTCAATTTCCTTGAGGTTGATAGCACAGTTAAGGACAGAGATCCAAGAAAAAGGAAGAAGCTGTCCTGAATTCTGGAATGTGCTTCTCATTGACAGAAATGAACTTCCCATCTGGAAATGTCAGTTTTTAGTATTTCTGTGTGATACAAGCATGTGCTGTTTACCTCTGGAAGAAATCTGTGTAAATTCTTTCTTTTTTGTGATTTTCTGGATTTTCAGCCAGAAGTATAGAACTCTGTGAAATTAAAATTTGCAAGTTCTTTTAGGCATGAGGGTGTAAGGGTTATTGCAGGTTTTCAGAGGAAGTTATTTATTTGCACTAAGGGATTTAGAAAAACAAAATAAAAAGACCCCGGATGCCCTTAGCCAGGTTAGTGGGGACACAGGGTTCCTTTGGAGTTAGTCCTGAAAGGCAAAGGAGTCCAGGAAGGCTGGATGTGCTTTAGAAAGGAATTGTTAAATATTCAGGAGCAGGCTGTCCCCATGTGTAGAACAAATTATCAGGGGGAAAATCCAGCCTGGTTAAACTTGGGCTGGAACTTAAGGAAAAAAGAGAATCTATTGACCCTGGAATGAGGGTCAGGCAACTTGGGAGGATCATAAGGATGTTGGAAGGTCATGTAGGGAGAAGATTAGAAGGGTCAAAACCCAACTAGAACTTGATTTGCAGTTAAAAACAACAAAAAAAGCTTCTATAAGAGCCTTGACAGCAAAAGCAGGGTCAGGGAGAGTCTGGCTCATTTGATGAATGCAGAGGGGAGTGCAGTGACAGGAGATGAGCAAAAGGCAGAGGGATTTAAAGCCTTATTTACCTCGGTCTCCAATATCAGGACCAGTTGTCCTCAGGTGTTACCATTGAGTCAGAGATGACACAGAGACCTGTCAGCAGGTACAAACACCATGGTGGTGTTTATTGAGAGTCTGCTTTTAGATCCTTGTTCGACACACATGAACCTGATTGGTCATTTAATCAACACATTTCAAATGATTGGCTAATTAAGGAACCACCCTTTGGTAACCATATCTCCATAACACATTCCACATGCTCACAAACACCAAGCACAGCAACTTAAGAATTGTTTATAATCCTTTTCTCTGAGCTTCTCACAGCTTTTCCCAGAATGATGCCTGGGAAACTATCTGTTTATCTCTCTCAGCATCCACGCTCAGGAACCCCAGCCTCTAGAGCTGGAGGTAAGTGATGGGGAGCTGAGTGTGTCCCAAAATCCAGGAGATGGTGGGTGACCTGCTCTGCCAACCACTCACAAATCTATGGGCCCTGATGGCCAACATCAGCTGGACATGAGCCAAGTGTGCCCAGGGGGCTAAGAAGGCCAAGAGCAACTTGAATATCAGGAACAGTGTGGTCAGCAGGAGCAGGGCAGTGGCTGTCCCCTGTACTGGGCACTGCTGAGGCCACACCTGGGATGCTGCATCCAGTTCTGGGCCCCTCACTTAAAAAGGACATTGGGGTTCTGGAGTGTGTCCAGTGAAGCACAACAAAGCTCATGGAGGGTCTGGAAAACAGGTCTGGTGGATGGCTGAGGGAGCTGTGTGTCTGGAGGAGAGGAGGCTCAGGGGGC